GTATATTCCACCTATACTGATAACAATTTTACAGTATCTTGTGCATGTGTCCGTGTGTTTAAAGCATTATGTATAAGCACTAGTCACTGTATTATTTCAATATACTGAAGTATTTACCTATCTTGTACAATGCACACAAAATTTACACACACTCTCACACACAAAATAATGTAAACTCTCACACTGAAGTAAACTTCAGGCAGAAAAGAACTATCGAAAAAACAAAATCAGTGAGACTGCATTTACATTGTTTGTTTCAGTCATGCCTTCATTTTTTGCTGTAATATGTTCACTTAAGTAGAGAGTTGTCTGTAATAAAGAGCATATGCCACAGGTTAGATGCAACAGTAAGGAAAGAAGATCTCTCTCATGATCTATTCTCGGTACTTAAGAGTGGCAACCCAAGCAGATTTTTGTCCCTGAAACTTAATGTACAGGCAGTCTCATATAGAAAGTTTTTACTTCAGCAGTCCTCTACATATTTAGATAGATAAAAGGCCAGTAAGATGTACAACTACCAGTAAGTTTCAGGTTGTCATGGTTGCTTCCTCTGGTTGCAGTCTACAAAGGGCCTTGAAAATTAAAAAATGAATTTTGGGTTGGATCCAGAAATAATTTGGAAACAACTGAAGTTGTTACATAAATTGAGTAATATGGTCCAATAATTTCACTTCACTTAAGAGTGTTCTGGACCCAATATAGTATTTAACATCTTTATTAAAGTAGCCCAAGGTAGGGAGTGTTAAAAAGGTAAGAAAAATAAATAAATGATTGCATTGAGCATTATATCTTTTTCCCACCAAGAAGATGTCAATGTATATTGTTGTTTCTACTCTGAAAAGCATGTCATGCCACAGGTAACAAACAATGATATAAATTTGTTGAAATAGGCAAGAGTAGCAGAATAGCATAGAATTTTAGAATAATCGTTATTTATAATTATTTATTTGATTATATATTTAAACTTCCACACTGTCAAGATTTATTTTACTGCAAAGATCCCAGGGTAGCAAAGAAACACACATAAACCTATGTGTGCACACGTACGCATGCACACGCACACATACACACAGACATAAGAACACTATGGGACAGACACACAATCAAAATGATAACTCGGTGCATAATAAAATACCATACAACCTCAATATAATACCTTAAAATGTATCTTCTATTATTAAGCTATTTTTACAACAAATTCTGTACATCCTTTGTAATGGTAAGAAGTTTAAGAAGTGTTTACACATTAACTATGTAGCAACTTCCACTGATTTGAAATGAAGAAATAATTTATAGGATCTTAATGAACAGGGCAACATCCTGTTCATAAATCAATGTATACGTACATGTGGAATCTTGTAGTTATTTAAGATGGTGGCCATCTGGATAGAGTTTTCAGCTGTATATCCCCCAACAACAGACACTACATGTTTCCTATTACACTTGTAATTGAGTATATCCTTTTTCTGTGTGAACAGGAGATCCAGACTGGTCTCATACGTTGTCTTTGAGTCAAACAGGTTGTCATAGATATGGAACCCCAGAGTCTCATTGGGGATGAGCCGTGGATTGTTATGGATTTCATGAATAGCAAAAAGCATGGATAGGACATGCTGATAATGTTTAAACTTCAGCCTGCAATAAGATTGCCACAGAAACTTAGTGACTGCTATTGTCAAGTGCACGCATTCTCATCACATGACAAAAAATTATGTGATTCCTAGCAGCTTGAGAATGACAAGTTAAGTTTGGGAAAGAAGTGTGAATCCATATGTTGCTTCCATATGGGAATATGTAGGAGGAAAAGAGGAGGATAGAGGAGACTGTTCCATTGTGTAATGGAGATAGATCAAGTCAGCATTAAGCCTTTCATCCTATTGACTATTTCCAACATTCAGTAAGATTTAAATTGCGGATGATCTTGCCTTTATTTCAATATTTTATTTTTAAAGTTATTTTAAAAAAAACTGAGGAAAGCGTGTGCAGACAGGTATATAGAAATGTAGTACAATAAAGTATTTAAAAGAAATGGAAAAAAGAAGTTTCATTTACACATTTAAGGCTGAATACAGCCATATGAATAAATGCATTTGTATATAAATCGAAGCAACAAAATATAAACAGGTATTCTAATGTGCACAGATCCAGATATTTACCTCATCTCCCAAAGATAACAAGTATGAGTGGATTGTTCCTCCTAAGAAAGGCCTTAAAGATCAAATGCCCAAAATAAGTTTGCAACTGAGCTATCACAGAGTTCTTTCTGGCATGGAAGTAAATTAATAATGAAAAATGACAAAAAAAGTATCCATTAATGCCTCCCCCCTGTAGTCTTTGTAATTATTTTTTCATAGATACTGTAATTTGATTTATGCCAACCAATATATTACCCATCTTTACAAAATAGATGTTTATTTTTCCACTATTTCTCATTGATTTTGCACGCAGACAAAAATGCAATACAATACACAAAGCAGATTCAAGGGCAACATATAGATTTTTTAAAAATGGAGACAACCTGATAATTATTTCAGTGCACCTTTTCCTACTGTTAAATAATTTATTTAAGAAGTTTTAGTCTTTAGAATGAGCCCTTTAGTCTAAGGATTATTCTCAAGAATAGGCCATTCACTCCACATATTCACAAAAACTCATAAAGAATCAAAATAGTTTGCAAAAATAAGGAAGAAGTCAGATCATTTTCTGATCCAGTCAAAACCATCTGTCGAAGGGCATTTCTTCAAAGTAGCCCTCAAGGCAAAAGATAGGGATGGGGATTCTGTTATTTTGTCTTTTCAAAGCTGTTCTGTAGCTTTGTATCTGGAAGAATTGGGCATGAAGCCAAAATCTCACCCTTTTCTGAGAACATGTAGAGCAAGAGGGGTTTTGAATTTTACCCCAATATTTCTCAGCTCTTCAAAGATTCCTCCTAGCAAAGAGAAAATGAATTTTAAAAAATAATCTTCAACTTAGAAGAGGTCATTGGTTGTACCTCAACCCCCATGCAGTACTTGCTAAGTCTAATGTCACCTGGTAAATGGCATTACTTACAGAGACACATAGTGGGCCTTCAGGGGAATGTTTCTGAAGTTGGGCAAATGCACTGAAGGATGTATGAGAGATAGAATCCCACCAATTATGACTCCTCCAGGCTTGAACAAATTGTGTTTGATGCTCCTGTAAAGGCTGCATTCTGTCTTCTTGACCTCACACACAAGAGGGGGGATTTGCAACTGCAACAGCACCAATAGCAACCAGCACTTGCATTCTAACACCTTCCTGCCCATGTTCCAACTCCACAGCAGCATGCCTCGCCTCATCCACAGCAGACACCATGGATCATTTGACCCTGCTGCTCACCCAAGTAGCATCTTCTTTTCCTCAAAGTTGTCCATAGCACATTGAAGCAGAATTCCAATGTGCTTAAATCATAAGTATTTATCTTTTCAATCTGTTTTTCTTAGTGGGGAAGGTACAGAAGAAGGAACTTGAATAATAGTAATATTGATAATTACAGGGTACATAAATGCACCTTTTCAAAAGGACAGGAAAAAGATCTCAGCCAAACTACTCTTTGTTTGTTAGTGGGGTGCCCTGGGAAGAGTTCATTCTTCTTCCAATGCATTCATGGTTGACCCATGTTGATAGCCTTAATAACTCATACCCTGAGTTAATCTCACTGTTGTGTAGGATGGTATATACATACATATTGAGTAATAGTAATCAACAACAACACCTGTCCTTCTGCTGCCCAGGCAAAGTAAATATGCTAAGAACATAAGAAATCCTGTCCTTTGTATAAAGCATTTATCAAAACAAACAAAACAAACAAACACTTCACTGCATAAATACAGAGAAGTAAAGAATGGAGCCAAACTTTCAATGCTCTGAATTAATTTTTTGTTTTATCTGAAAGCAGTTTCTGGTGTTGAGATCAGCCCTGAAAACAATAATATAGCATTTGGGGAGAAAGATGCAAGCCAAGAGGTCAGTATTGGAAGCCAAGATGGCAAAAACCTCCACAGCTACCACATATTTCCCCTTGGTGCTCAGGTAGTCTGAAATAAAGGAGATCCAAACACTGCAAACCACCAGCATGGTGAAGGTGATGAATTTGACTTCATTGAAAGTGTCTGGTAATTTTCTGGCTAGGAAAGCTACAATGAAGCTGATGAGGGCTAGAAGGCCCATGTAGGCCAGAACACAGGAGAACAGAATGACAGAGCCTTTATTGCATTCAATGGTGATATGCCCAGGCTGGGAGTGCATGTTAACATCTGGGGATGGAGGGGACATTGAAAGCCATACAATACAGATGCACACTTGGATGAGGGAGCAAGAAACAATTATAGAGTTGGCTAATTTATGCCCTAGCCATTTTCTCATGGTATTGCCTGGCTTTGTGGCCAAGAAAGCCAAGACTGCAATTACTGTTTTTGCCAACACACAAGCAACTGCAACAGAGAAAATGACTGAACTCCTTCCGACAAGAGGTGGGCATTTGTATGATGACATAAATGGTTAAAGATTGCAGAAGAGATTTTACCTTAGGAGAGAAGCAGTCTAATTTAGATTTTAAAAGTCCAATAGTCCAATCTGTTCACTGTCTTGTTACCAATGCATGCATTCTGTAAGCATAGAGAACATGGATTTCTTCTCCCCACCCTCTCCCTGCACAAGGAACCACATAAACAATAAAACATTGCAAACATATAGGATTGGTTACATGAGTCTAGGCACATCATATGTAGAGAACCTCTCAAATCAGTGTGACTAAAGTTATTCATGACTAACAGCACTCCTCTATATGTCAATGGATCTAATCCACATATAAGTCTTATCACTAGCAATTCCACAGTATACCATGGGACCACATGACCCCTACAGAGACAGCACTCAGCTGCAATCATGTCAGCTACCTGGATCATCTATTCCAGAGATAAGCCATGGTTTAACAAAACTGCTAGCTATATCAACAAAAAAATCCTCAAGAACCCATTTCAATGAGCTTTGCGGATTACCTTTAATTTTTTCTTTACTGCTTCCTTTACTTCTTTGTTTCTCAAACTGTAAACAAGAGGATTGACCAGGGGAGTAAGGAGAGTGTAGAAGAGAGAGAACAGTTTCTTTAAATTGCTCAGTGAAATCATGTTTGGTAGAACATAGACTATGATCAGGGAGCCATAGAAGCAAGCAACCACGGTTAGGTGAGAGGAGCAAGTAGAGAATGCTTTTTGTTTTCCTACACCGGAAGGGATTCTTAAAATGCTCTTAATGATGCAAACATAGGATGACAGGGTTACTAGAAATGGGGCAAGAGTGCCTATAAAGGAGACCGAAAAGGCAGTAGCTTCAACCAAGTGTGTGTCACTGCAGGACAGTCTTATCAATGGGGTTAAATCACAGAAAAAATGATCAATTTTGTTTGGTCCGCAAAAACTCAGTTGGGATACCAAGAATACGATAAGGCTGATGAACAGTGATCCACTTATCCATGATCCAGCAATCAGCAGAATGCAAATTCTCCCATTCATCAGCATTGCATAGTGCAGTGGTTTGCATATTGCTAAATAACGATCATAAGACATGACAGCCAGGAAGTAGCATTCTGTGGTTGCAAGGTACCCAAAGAAATACAGCTGTGCAAAGCATCCCCCAAGGGTGATCGTTCTGTCCCCGCTCAGAAAGTGGACCAACATCCTTGGCATGATAGTGGAGCTGTAGCAAGTCTCCAGGCAGGACAGGTTTCCCAGGAAGAAATACATGGGGGTGTGAAGCTGATGATCAAACAGCACTAGAAAGACAATGAGGATGTTGCCAGCCATGGTCACAATGTAGATGGGTAGAAATAACATGGAAAAGAAAGTCTGCAGGTCCTCACTGCTAAAATCAAGGAGAATAAAAGCCACAGGGGCAGTCTGATTTCTTCCTTCATGGATTTCCAGATGCATCTATATAACAGCAGAATATATAGGTAATGGATTAATGTGTTAATTTGAGTGTACTTTAAAGTGGCTAATTTAAGTCCACTTTAATTTAAAATATATCCAGAGATGGTTGAGCACATACTAGCAAAGCAAGTAAGCAAAGAATAGACCCTTTTATTGCATTCTGTTGATTGGTAATCCATATAGCATTTCATTTAAATTAAGTCTATACAAAAGATATATAGAATAGCATGAAGTTTAAACTGTCCTATCTTTTTAGTTGTTCCAGGAAAATATTTTTTAAATTTTTATTTCTAGATAATATTAAGCCACTCCATTTCACTAGTCTTTTTTTCATGCAGCTCAGACATGAGTGGCTGAAGAACTTGTACAACTATCAACCACTTCTTATCAAAACAGAAAGAAATTGATGCTGCCACTTCCATTCATCATGTCTGAAAACTGGCATCTCTGATTGCAATTGCATACCTGCCTTTCTAGTCTCATCCCACAGAGTTCAGGGTGACTTACTCCTAAGTTAAACTGTTTTATGACTGCAATCTCATAGCCTAAAAATACATTCAACAACTGATGTTACACCCCACTGAATTGAATGGACTTTCCTTCTGAACAGGCATAGAAGGGACTGCACTATGAAGTTACTTTGACATCCTGTGTATTTTAACTGTGCAATAACTTTTCTCTTTTGAAAGTCTTTTTAGACTCTGAGTTTGGACATTAAAGGAATCAATCAGTGGAAGGTGATAGGAGAGCTTGTAAGACACGAAAGCATGAAATACACCTCAGGCTTCAATAGTGCTTTAGCCAAATTCCATTAGATTATAAGGTTTAAAAGGTGTGTAGTAGAAAGAGTGAGAGAAGACAGGTAAGCAAGAGATGCGGAAGTCCTCTTAAAAGCTAGATGTCTTTTCGCTATGTGAATGGAGTCTAGTTTAGCAAACTTTGCTGTAGCATCCCCACTCAAGTAGTTTCCAGGCAAGTCTACATACAGACACATCTTCTCTTACCTCTGAGTTAGTAGCTGAGGAACCTCTTATTTTTATGTTAGAGATACTTGAGCTATTGTCATTTCAACCTCAGTTTTATATTAAACTGTGAGCTGAATACACTGACATCTAAGTCAAGCTTAAAAAGAAATAAATAAAAGTTTATTGGTAAGGTCACCAAATTGCTCCAATAGCATCCTTAATTCATTCAGTATCATGGAATATTGATGACTCTGGCATTGATTTGTCATGAAAAATGTGTAATCACTGATATAGTTGAACAGACATACTTTCTGTGGACCTCAACATACAAAAGCTATGCATGTTAACTGCATGGAATCTACCCATTTTATAATCTATAAGATGTCCTTGAAGACTTGCCAAACCTCTAAAGGTTTAATGCAAAGAAAATGCAACTCTATCCCTGCTTTCTAGGTGTTGCCCTTTGCTGTATAATCAGTAAAAATCTACATGGTTTAATAAGCCTGAAATATCTCAATGCAAAGTCAGCATGGAGAAGAAGACACCCAAGCCACAAGGGAAATTAGTGAATCCCTTATCATTATTGCTATGTCATCCTTCATAGCAACTCTTCAAGAACCTTCATGGTTCTGGAATTTCTTGAGTTCATGAGTCAGGAAGAAATCTATCATTGTGTGTATTATTATATTGCACATTATTAAATGAGAAATATTGTGTTATTGCATCAAGGAATCATGACTCTCTCTCTCTCTCTCTCCCCTCCCCCTCCCCCTCCCCCCCTCTCTCTCTCTCCCTCTCTGAGATCTGTGAGATCTGCCCCATTTCCCCTTTAATGTCCAGAAAAATAAATCAAGGGCACTGTACCTCATGTGAGGCCAGCTCAATCAGGTTGAGACATTTGATGATCTTGTCTAGTGATAGAACAAAGACTAGAGATTTGTCTGATGGATGAGCATGTTAGTGCTTCAGAAATGGCCTGCCTCTTGGTGACTGCTGTGCTAGGAATATTACTTCCTATTCATTATAAATATTATCAAAATGAGAGTTTTTCATTGTTGCCAGGACAGTCCACTTTTTGGAAGTGTTGATGAGGATGCATTATAACTATTTTCACAGATCCTTGGTTATGTTTAGGAGTTAATTTTAGTTGTTCCCTAATCTGCCAACCAGATTACTATGAATCACATTGTCAGACAAATAACACCTCCATTTCTTTATCACAATTTGGTTCTCATAGTGGTAGTAATATACAGCCATTAAAACTTGAAGCCATTGATAGACTTCACCTCCAGGAAATGGTACAACCAGCTTTATAAAGCCAAAGATAGGTCATTCAGTCAAAGTTAAGACAGAGTAAAAATCAATCAATGACCAAGCAAATACTAGAATCATGTGGAAAACTGCCTTTTGTCTTTGAGTTGTTTCCTAGAGTTGAGATCAGGTCTTAAAAGAATAATGTAACATTTTGGAAGGAAG